CTCGTTGGTTTCGAAGAACTTCTTTATTTCTGCCTTCATTTCATTGTTTATCCAGTCAGTGTTCAAGAGCCAGTTGTTCAGTTTCCATGAAGCTGTGTGATTCTGAGTTAGTTTCTGAATTCTGAGTTCTAACTTGATTGCACTGTGGTCCGAGAGACTGTTCATTATGATTTCTGTTGTTTTGCATTTGCTGAGGAGTGATTTACTTCCAAGTATGTGTTCAGTTTTAGAGTAGGTGTGATGTGGTGCTGAGAAGAATGTATATTCTGTGGATTTGGGTTGGAGAGTTCTGTAAATGTCTATCAGGTTTTCTTGTTCCAGGTCTGAGTTCAGGTCCTGAATATCCTTGTTAATTTTCTGTCTGATTGATCTGTCTAATATTGACAGTGGAGTGTTAAAGTCTCCCACTATTATTGTGTGGGAGTCTAAGTCTCTGTAAGTCATTAAGAACTTGCCTTATGTATCTGAGTGCTCCTGTATTGGGTGCATATATATTTAGGTTCATTAGCCATTCTTGTTGCGTTGATCCTTTTACCATTATGTAATGTCCTTCTCTGTCTCTTTTGATCATTGTTGGTTTAAAGTCTATTTCATCAGAGACTAGAATTGCAACTCCTGCTTTTTTTGCTCTCCATTTGCTTGATAAATCTTCCTCCATCCCTTTATTTTGAGCCTTTGTGTATCCTTGCATGTAAGATGAGCTTCCTAGATACAGCACACCAATGGGTTTTGGTTTTTTATCCAATTTGCCAGTCTGTGTCTTTTGATTGGGGCATTTAGTCCATTTACATTTAGGGTTAATATTGTTAGGTGTGAATTAGATCCTGCCATTTTGATGCTAGCTGGCTGTTTTGCCTATTAGTTAATGCAGTTTCTTTATTATGTCAATGCTCTTTACCATTTGGTATGTTTTTGGAGTGCCTGGTACTGGTTGTTCCTTTCTATGTTTAGTGCTTCTTTTAAGAACTCTTGTAAAGCAGGCCTGGTGGTGATGAAATCTCTGAGTAATTAATCGCTTGTTTGTAAAGGATTTTATTTCTCCTTCACTTATGAAGCTTAGTTTGGCTGGATATGAAATTCTGGGTTGAAAGTTCTTTTCTTTAAGGATGTTGAATATTGGCCCCCACTCTCTTCTGGCTTGTAGGGTTTCTGCTGAGAGGTCTACTGTAAGTCTGATGGGCTTCTTTTTGTGGGCAACCTGACCTTTCTCTCTGGCTGCCCTTAGTATATTCTTTTTCATTTCAACCCTGGTGAATCTTACGATTATGTGTCTTGTGGTTGCTCTTCTTGAGGAATATCTTTGTGTTGTTCTCTGTATTTCCTGGACTTGAATATTGGCCTGCCTTGCTAGGTTGGGGAAGTTTTCCTGGATAATATCCTGAAGAGTATTTTCCATTATTCTTGAATTCATTCTCTCCATCACATTCAGGTACACCTATTAAATATAGATTAGGTCTTCTCACATAGTCCCGTATTTCTTGGAGACTTTGTTGATTTCTTTTTACTCTTTTTTCTCTAATCTTGCCTTCTTGTTTTATTTCTTTGAGTTGATCTTCAACTTCTGATATCCTTTCTTATGCTTGGTTGATTCGACTGTTGAAACTTGTATATGCTTCTCAAAGTTCTCATATTGTGTTTTTCAGATCCATCAATTCACTTATAATCCTCTCTAAGCTGTTTATTCTCATTAGCATTTTGTCAAACCTTTTTTCAAGGTTATTAGTTTCTTTGCATTGGATTAGAACATGTTCTTTTAGCTCAGAGAAGTTTCTCATTACCCACCTTCTGAAGCCTGTTTCTGTCAATTCATCAGACTCATTCTCCATGCAACCTTGTTCCCTTGTTGGTGAGGAGTTGTGATCCCTTGTAGGAGGAGAGGCACTTTAGTTTTGGGTGTTTTCATCCTTTTTGCACTGTTTTCTTCCCATCTTTGTAGATTTATCTACCTGTCATCTTTGTAGTTATTGACTTTCAGATGAGGTCTCTGAGTGGACCTCCAGTTTGTTGATGATGAAGTTATTTCTTTCTGTTTCTTAGTTTTTTTTCTAACAGTCAGGTCCCTCTGCTGTAGGACTGCTGAGGTCCACTCCAGGCCCTGCTTGCCTGGGGATCACCTGCAGCAGCTGCAGAACAGTAAGGGTTGCTGCCAGTTTCTTCTTCTGCTATCTTTGTCCCAGAAGGATACCTCCCAGATATCAATCTGAGCTCTCCTTTATGAGGTGACTGTTTGGCTATACAGGGGTCAGGAAGCTGCTTGAGCAGATAGTCTGCCCTTTATAGGAGCTCAAGTGCTGAGCTGTGAGCTCCGTTGTCTCATTCAGAGCTGCTGGGCAGGTATGTTTAAGTCTGCTGCAGCAGAACTCATGAACGCCTTTTATTCCCCCCAGGTGCTCTGTCCTGGGGATTTGGGGCTTTATTTATAAGTTTCTGTCATGCTGCTGCCTTTTTTCAGGGCTGCCCTGCCCAGCAAGGAGGTAGCCTAGTCACAATCTGCCTGCAGAGGCTTTGCTGAGCTTCTGTGGGCTCTGCCCAGCTGTCATGTGAACTTCCCTGCAGTCCTGTTTATAGGGTTATGGTTAGAACTGCCTTGGCAATGGCAGCCCACCTCTGTAAGGGTGGACTCTTTCTGTAATGGTGGACTGCCTCGGCAATGGTGGGCTGCCTCAGTAATGGCAGACTACCTCAGTAGTGGTGGACTGCCTCAGTAATGGCAGGCGCCCCTCCCCCACAGAGCTGGACCATCCCGGGTTCAGCTGTGCTTGCTGTGAAGCTCTCAATCCAGAGAGTTTCAGATTGCTGTTTTATGTGGGGTGGGACCAGCTGAGCCTGATCACCTGGCTCCCTGACTCAGATCCCTTTTTTTTTTCAGTTGAATGGGCGACTCTGTCTCTCAAGCGTCCCAGTCACCAGTTGAAACGGCACCCAGATTTGTGTGAGATTTTGTGCAGAGACCCGCTGAGCTGGCTTAAACAGCTGCACTGGGGGATCGTAGCACTTTTTTGCCTGGGAATCTCTTGGCCTGGCTCCCTGTTTCAGTCCCCTTTTTTTCATTTGAATGGGCGACTCTATCTTCCAGGCATTCCAGTCACCTGTTGAAAAGGTGCCAGGATCTGTGTGATTTCCCAAGCGGTGACCCCCTGCACTGGCTGAAACAGCTGCGCTGGAGATTCATGGTGCTTTTTTGCCTGGGAATCTCCTGGCCTGACTCCCTGTTTCAGTCCCCTTTTTATCAGTTGAATGGGTGACTCTGTCTCCCATGAGCTCCAATCGCTATCTAAAACAGCACCCGGCCTGTGTATTTTGTGAGGAGACCTGCCGTGCTGACAACCCATGGGGCTCCTCCACCTGGGAATCTCCTGGTCTGTGGGCAATAAAAATCTGTCTGGAAATGTGGCATCCACTCACCCTCTGTGCTTTCACTGGGAGCTGCAATCCTGAGCTGCTCCTAATTGGCCATCTTGGATCCTCTCCAAAAGGCATTTTTTGTAGAGGCAAATTAGTGATTTCCAATTTAAGATTGCTAAGAAGATTCCATAAAAACGTACACAGAGAAATTGTAAGGGAAGATACATATTTGAGATTTTCATTATTTTATGAAACAGGAAAAGGTCTACTACAAAGCATTTAACATTGCCACCCCCCCTGAGTTCTTCCTGAAATCAGAAACTCTTTGCCAGTCTTTCATGTTTCTTACATCTCTGTTGTTCAACTTAATTTATTCTGCCTAGCTTATATTTTCTAAGAACCTTTTTATTATAAAAGTAATATATGTTGGCCTGATTTATTCTTAATTGCGTGTAGTAAGTTCAGTGAAGACAGAGACTGTACCTTATTTGTAAAACAGTGTCAGGACACCTAACAGCACAGACCTCGGAGTCAGACACACCTGAATTTGAATCTTGTCTGTGCTGCTGTTCCTCAGTTAAATACAAAGTAGTGTTTTTTTTTGTGGTGGTGGTTGTATAATCTTGTTTAGACTCAATATACTCATCTTTAAAATTCAGATAATGCCTATTTCTTTTGGGGAAGTTGTGAACATTAAATGAGAAAATGTATGAAAGTGCTTAGCCCACAGTGCCTAGTACCCACAGGTATTCAGCCCACAGTAACTATTATTACATATGTCTAATTTATTTGAATCTCTACCATGTAGCACAGAAGGAAGTGCTCAGATCTTTACTGAACAAATAATAGCTAAGATGAGAGAAGAAAATCATAAGAGGAATCTCAGGGCTGACACCCTTGGTTGATTGTGCCCTTTTTCTTCCACCTGTGACCTTAAGATTTGAAGTCCTAGGGGCTGGTATGGATGCTTGAGCTCTGCTTCCAGCCCCAAATGAGCCTGGTTGGAGGTGGGATAGGAGGAAAGTATTGTCTGTTTGCACCAGGGCCTCCCAGGAAGTTCTGAGCTTCTCAGGGGAATTTCATTCCAATTTCCAGCTCCTTTGCCCACTCACCTGCCCTCCTGCCCCAATGCCTCTAAAAAGTTTTCTAGTGATGGGAACTTCCAGTGATGAACCTGCACCTTTGTAGGGTCACTGGGAGAGAGGGACCCTCTAAATACCATCTTTTGCATGAAGCATTTCTTGTTTCCCTGGTTAAAAATAGTCTCTCCTGCAATTGCACATAGCACTTCTTGCCCTACTCTAGCTACTGGCTTTATGTTGTTTCCTGCTGTGAATTGTATGTCTCTGAGAGCAAAGTCTAGGTCTGGTTTCTGTTTGATCAGTATAATGAGCTGTACATATGTTTCCAAGCAATGACTGTTAAACTGAATTCCAAGGAAGCAAGACTCAGGGCTGCAGCCTAGCGCTGAGCCCTGAGCCCAGATCTTTCCCTAATCTCCGAGGTGCTACCCTGATCACCAGACCTTTAAGTTTATACACTTCTGCTCCCTGTGGGAGAACACAGCCTCTGAGAAATTAGTAGCCTGAAGTTCATTGTTTAAGATTCCTTGGAGAAAGCTCCCAACAATAGATTTCAAAAAGCTGGCAGGAATACAGAAGAAAGGCTTTATTTAGAGAATAAGAAAGGTTTAGGGAATAAGAATTTACAAGATGTTAACATCAGACTTTTTCCTTTCCATAAAGTTCATTTTTTACACCACCCAGTTACACCACCCTCCTATGTAATAACATTGGAGCATGGTGGAAATACAATACCTATTACAGCTGGAAACAATCCAGAAGAATTCTGAGGCTATTAGCAGACAGCTTATTAAAGCTTTGTTCTAGTAGTCATATAAAATTGATAATGCAATAATTTATTTGATACAAAAGGTACTTACTATATTCAAAGCCATCCAACGTGATAAAAATTTGTGGGACATTATATATTTTCATTCCTAGTTATCATTACCACAGTTTTCTAAAGTTCTTGGATGAAAATAATTATTTTCTAGATATTATTCTAAGTTTTTAAACTAAATTTAGGTGAAATAAACATCTTAGGAAAAGTTGGTCAACTGAATAATTTGCTTTCCTCACTTGGCATGGAAAAACAATTACCCTTTCAACTTCATCAGTGTCTCTGTTGAGACTTGGACATTTCAAAGCCTCAGTTCTGCTTGAAGAATGCCAGTGTCTCCTCTTGATTTCATGTGGCTTTTCACAAATTCAGTTAATTTCCTGAACCCCTGGGCCAGCCCGTCCCCTGTGATGGCACAGCAGGGTTGCACATACCAGTTCCGGTCACTGCAGAGCTTCTTCACGTTGAACATTCTGGTGATGTCCTCCACAGTCAGAGCTCCAGGCACATCTTGTTTGTTGGCTAATAGAACAACAGGCGCATTTTTAATGTGTTCATTCTTCAAAATGTGTTCAAACTGTCTCCGAGAGTCTTCCAGTCGCTGTTTGTCTGTACTGTCCACAACATACACCAGCCCGTCAGTGTTCTCACAGTACCAGCCCCAAACAGTTCTCATTTTCTCCTGTCCTCCAACATCCCAGACAGTGAGCGAAAGACTCCTTTCCAATTCGAGCATCTCCACATTGAAACCTATTGTAGGACTGGTGGCAACATCTTCAGCAAGCTTTAATCTATAAAGGAGAGTAGACTTCCCAGCTGAGTCAAGTCCCAAAAGAAGAATTCGGGCTTGCTTGGTTTGGGGATTTTTTGAATTCAGCAAACCCATTTTAGCCTTTTTTCCCTCTCTTTAAATTATCTTTCTTTCTTTCCTTCTTTCTTCTTCTTTTCTCCTTCCTTCTTTTCTTTTCTTTTCTTTCTTCTATTGGCCAATGTGTCCTTTCTGGAACTCGAGTGAAAATGTTAGGAAGAAAGAAGAAAGCAAGTGCTTCAGGCTGTATTCTAAGAACAAGAACCTGAATATATTTATGTTGTAGCTTATCAACTTGATTGTGGGCAAACAGTATTATTTGCAGTCCCAGCCAATCCTGAGGGATCTGTGATGGGAGTAACCAGCCAATGCTGTGGTTAAGATTAGGAGAGACCTGTCTGGCTGACACTGCAACTGTATTTTCTTTCAGGTGCTAGAAATCTAGAGGAAATAGAAGGTGCAGACATGCAGAGGAGCATGGTTTAACAGCAGAATACAAACTTTTCATTTTAATTAACTAACTTTTAACTTAATTTTAACTAAATATTTTGTGCAACTTTTTGTAGAACTTCTCAGGTATTGAACCATTCATCTTATCCCAATTGTAAATAAGGAACCAGGCTTCTTAAGTCATGAGGAGAGAGTTATTCTCACACTCTGCCTGCAATATATTAAATCCCCCTTGTCCAGATTACTCAATAGAAAACTTTAAACCACCCAAGGTTATCTGAGCCTTACTCCATAATCACATACAGAATCACTTTCTTTAATCTTCTAGGCAGAGAATTTACACTACTGCAGTCACAAAACCAAATATATGAGGGGGAATTTATAACACAAACACTTTACATTAAGCAGTCCAATTAAAGATGGCAAATAAGTACATGTATTTATTTCTCCTCCTTCCCAAGACTCTACAAAATAACGGTAAAGGCATTAAAAGAACATATAGGCGGGGTGCAGTGGCTCATGCCCGTAATCCCAACACTTTGGGAAGCCAAGGTGGGTGGCTCATCTGAGCACAGGAGTTCAAGATCAGCCTAGGTAACATTGTGAAACCCCGTCTCTACTAAAATACAAAAAAATTATCTGGGCGTGGTGGCACATGCCTGTAATTTCTGCTACTCAGGAGGCTGAGGCAGGAGAATCGCTTGAACCAGGAAGTTGGCGGTTGCAGCCTAGGCAACAGAGCAAGACTCCATCTCAAAAAAAAAAAAAAAAAAGAACATATAAGTTTATAACAAAACAGCAAGATAACCCAAAGAGAATTCATCAGAGGTTGAGAGATTTTAACAAAATTCTGGAAAATGGAAAAATGAGTGATAACTGATACAGCAGGATAAAGCCAAGGCTTAGAGTGCTGATGCACAGGAGATAGACAAGAAGTGGCAGGTCTGGCAGAGAGAAGCAGTAAAACAAAGAAACAAAAAACAAAAGAAGGAGGTAAAAAGAAGACAAAATAAAGAACAGAATACACACACACACACACACGCACACACACACACACACACACACACCCCTTTGCTGGGTGTCTTCAGCAACTAGATGCTTATTCCCAGGCAAACCTGAAGAGTTTTTTATTAAAGAAATTAAATGATCTCAGAAAAAAGACCTCCACATTTTGACAGTTGGGAGTTTCTGATCATAATGCCTAATTCAACATGTAATTGACATATAGCCAACCTGGCAATTGGCAAACTTGCTTACATACATAGAGCTCCCAATCAGCTTTACAATGCACAGGGAGGTTTCATTGGTGCTGATTCTGGGCCTGGCGAGTCATGCTGATTGAGGGCAAGGAGTGACACATTATCCTCCAGGAAAATTTGGACCTTTGTCAGAGTCTAGATGATAGGAGCCCTTCATGGACAATGCAGCTTTCTTTTCGTTCAGAATATTTTTCCTTGATGTGCTTCTTCCCTAAGAGTTTGGGAAGGAAGGACCCTTTAGAGTCTTGATACCTACTCTGTTTCAACTGTAGAGTTCCCATCTCTGTTTCGAGGAATTCCTTCATTTCTTAGATCATGTGCAGAGGCTATCTGGCCAACATCAGCCGGTTTGATGACCTACCTCAGCTTCTCCCCAGCTTAAATTATTTGCTCCTTTCAATATGAATGAGAGAGAGAGACCAAGATAAAAATAAGAACTTTTAATAAAGCTTAAACAGAGCTAATGAAGGGAACAGAAGAACATTTTCATTAAATTCTAATTACTACTTTTGTACAGATTTGAGAAGATATTACATCCATAAGACAAGATATGTATGGCATTAGAGACCACTCAGAGAATAAAAACAAAACTCCTAAAAATTAAAAAAGCAAAGTTCAAAAAATTTTAAAGGTCAGTAATACCTGTAGGTTGGCAGACATTGTTGAAGAAATCTTTCAGAAAGTCAAAGATAGAAAATGTGGAAGAAAAGATAAGAAATATGGATGATCAACTCAGGAGTCTCATTTACAGGGCTCATTCCAGAGAGGAAAGAAAACATGCACAAGAGGAAATTATCAAGAAACAATATGGAACCACTTCCCAAAGCTAAACAATGAACTTGCCAGATCGAAGGACTTCCCTCAGTGCTTACCAACATGATTTTTAAAAGATCTATACCAAGGCATGTGATAGACATTTTTTAATTAAAACTAAAAATTTATTTTAAAAACTTATGTAGTCTATTTTAGATACAGAAAGCACACGTATAAAGAAATTCTATAATCCTTTTTAAAGAATTAAGTTATTAACTGACTCACTATACCTCAGAGGCCAAAGATACCATTTTCATTTTTTCATTGATTTATTCATCTACCCATTCAGGAAACAAATGTATTGATTGCCCACTCTGTGCTAGATGCCAGGGAGGTCACAAAGATCAACTAGACTTGCCTTTAGATGGCTTTCATTGGGGAGAAGGTAAAAGACATTTGATCAAATAAAAATAAATACAAAGTCCAAAAATTATGAATGCTACAAGAAAAGAAAGGGCAATGTATTCTGGATATTCACAGACTCTTTTAATATGAAAGGCCTCAGGGAAATCTTCCTGGAGAAGGTTAAGCATTGAACCAAGCCTTGCAGAGACACAGTGAGGGCATATATAAAAGAAATAGTCTGTGAGAGTAAAGTCTCAGAAATGGGAAAATATGAGGATGTATATATGGAAAACCAACTGTATATGGATATGTAGGAGTTTCTTCCATAAACTATCATGAGATAAATCTAGATTGTAGGCCATGCTGCAAGACAACAGGCTTAGACTCTTCAAGATATGTCCATGTCATGAAAGACAGAAGTAAAAAAACGATCACAGGGAAGAATGTTCTAAATAAAAGATATATGACTCCTAAATGCATTGTGTAAATTTGTATTGGCTCCTGTGTCAATAATAGTCATTAAGGAAATTATTATAGTAATTATGACAATTCAAATCGGGGAAACTTGATAATGAACTGTTTATCAGATGGTATTATCAATGATAAATTTATTGAAGGTGATGATGCTATTGTTATGTAGGAAGATGTTTTTATTTCAAGGAAATACAGGCTAAAGTATGTGGGGGTGATATCAGCAAGTTAATTTCAACTGGTTCAGCAAATACATGGACAAAAATATGTGTATGGGAGGAAGGGAGTGTGTGTAAATACGGCAATACTAGTTGGTGGCTCTAGGTCAGAGGTATTGAGTGTAGTATTTAGTATCTTTTACTAAAAATAGTATTTTTAACTTTCCTCTAGATTTGAAATTTTTGAAAATGGCATGTTGAAAAAAAGAATATAATTGAAATAAGCTAATAAAATTAGACTGCAGACCATAGTAATACAGAAAAATAATTCAGCTTACTTAGGAGTAAGTCTGTACCTCCAAAGGTGAATTTAGGAACACTGACTGCACTACTACTTAAGCTCTTTCTTACCTCCATATTTTCAATAAATTAAAAATTTTTAAAGAAGTTAAACATTTATTTCATATTAAACTCAATGATTTGAGTGCTTTATGAGGTTTACTGTTGGTACTGGGGACATCCTTAAATGTAATAAGCATGATCATACATATATGCCTTCACTGTTTCCTTTCTGACCAATTGTACCTTGTTTTCAAGATAGCCAAACAAACCAGGGCTTAAATTCTGCATAAATATTTTATTCACATAAGAATATTATTCTCTTCTGTGAAAAGAAATGAAATATTTTTTTTCAACGCTAATTGTCATGAAGGAATCTACAAATGTTTCTTTTTTTTTTTTTTTGAGACGAAGTTTCACTCTTGTTACCCAGGCTGGAGTGCAATGGCCCAATCTCGGCTCACCGCAACCTCCGCCTCCTGGGTTCAGGCAATTCTCCTGCCTCAGCCTCCCAAGTAGCTGGGATTACAGGCTCGCGCCACCATGTCCAGCTAATTTTTTGTATCTTTAGTAGAGTCGGGGTTTCACCATGTTGACCAGGATGGTCTCGATCTCATGACCTCGTGATCCACCCACCTCGGCCTCACAAAGTGCTGGGATTACAGGCTTGAGCCACCGCGCCCGGCCCAAATGTTTCAACATCCTTTTTATTGTCCCAGAACATTTATGGATTCATTTGTCCCAGCCAAACCTGAGGGAAGGCACGGTATTTGTTTTCTGTAAATCATTCTAAGATTACGCAAATAAAGGTAGACTTGTGAGAGAGTTACTGGCAGGATCTGTGGTGTCACAGAAAATTTGTTTTAAAATACGGGAATGAGAGAAACATTTTCTTTCATTTCTTACCATGGAGGTGTGAGGCAAAAAATCCTAAATTAGAAGCTCAACCATGTCCTGACCAAGTGAAAATACAGAAACTTATCTCTTGGAAGAAAGTGGCAACTTATTCCATTATCTTTATTTTTCACAGATAAAGAATAAAGAATTAGGATGTGATTGTGTAAATTGCTTAGCTTACAGAAACTTGGAACATCCCCTACTTTCTCTACAATAACTTTTCTTTTGGTCTTTTAAAAAATAAATGTTTGGAAAATTGAAATATAACACATATATAGAAAAATGCAAAAATCATAAATGTACAACTCAAAGAGTTAACAAAAATTGAAAACACCCATGTAACTTTCACTAAGGCCAGGATTAATTTTTAACTTTCCATTTTTTTGCAAGTAAAAATTCAAGACCTCAAGTATTTCCATACCCAGTAGTGAGAAATATGCTCTGTTCCCAAATAAGTCACTCTTTGTCCTACTTGAGATTCTTTGAAGCTGCAAAGAATAGTATATCTCAGTCTACAAAGCTTTTCCAAGTGCCATTTCCATCTGACTGAACCAACACTTTCACTCACATCATCAAAGGTTTTCTTACTTTCACATTGGTAGATTATCGGATGTGAGTTCAAAACTAGCCTCTAGCACTCACTAATATTGAATACTTGTTATAATTATATAAAATAAATATTTAAAAAAAAGTTGTCACAGAGCC